TCTTTCACTGTCTGGGAGGGCTCTTTACCACAGCTGCAAACACAGCTGGACCTGTGTGTTGGAAGAAATATCCATCTGGTTCAGTTCCAAGCAGGGAGAAAGACACTGGAAACACGGAGGCTGATTGGAAAGATGGTTTAATGGTGAAGCAGAAGCACTGGGCATGGAGCTGAGAAGGGGGTTTATACCTTCTTTTGGGCTTTGAACTTGAGCTTCCTGTTCCTGTGGCAAGAGCATGTATTCTATTGGTTGCTGTAGGGGTCACAGCTGGCTCTGTAGGTTGTCTGAGTCCCAGGCTTGGTTGAAGCTTCCTGGGGGATGCAGCGTCCCCAGGGATTGTGCCATGTGGTGGGCTCTGCTGCTAGATGGGTTGATCCTATTATGTCCTGGAGGGTCATGTCTGAATCCCATCACCCTGGAGCCAGAGGTCTTTTGTCTTGTAGATAGGCTGACCTGTAGAGTTGTAATTGCAGGAATGTTCCAATCTCGGATGGCAAACCTCAGATAAAGAATGTTTACAAGCAAATACAACTCAGGCAAACAAAGTCACTAATCTAAAGGAGGATTAGAGAGAGGAAGTAAACATATGTTAGACTTTAACTAGAGATAATTAATTGTGTTAATTACTATTATGCTAAACAGTAATGAAAGTTAAGCACTAACCAAAGTTAACCAATGTTGGAGGATTACTAAAAATGTGTATAATGCAAGACTAGACTCCAATAAAGATCATCATGATTCAGTTGATCGTGATCAAACAACTCGACTGCCTCGTCATTACAACACTGACCCAGGCTTTCTTTCTTTCTTTCTTTCTTTCTTTCTTTCTTTCTTTCTTTCTTTCTTTCTTTCTTTCTTTCTTTCTTTCTTTCTTTCTTTCTGGTCATTTGCTTTTATTTTTTTTAATTTTTAAAAGAAAACTTTATTAAAGATTAAAAGAAAAACACTATGTACAATACATCGAATACAACTTTATGTTGCAGACAAAATCTATATATACGAATACATAATAAATAAACCTATAAAACATATGTTTCTGATCAACTAAGACAGTGTGATTTTTTCTTGGTAATAATTTTATTACTATTCCTTTCTTAATTTGATAAACGTTCTTAATTTAACCACTCCATCAAAACCCTCTCTCTTAATTTCCTGTTTTTTTCTCTTTAATCCACTTATACCATTTATCCCAAGCTGTAATATATCTTGAGTCTTCCTTATTCCTAAGTTTTTGTGTGAGTGGGTCCATTTCAGCGCAGTCAAGTATTTTCTGAGTAATAAAAATTATTTGTTGGCATTTGATCACCCTTCCAACATTGGGCCAACGCAATTCTTTCTGCTGTGATTATATGGAGAATCAAATATTTCATAATGGGCACCAAATATCTGCTTGGGCCAGGGAGCTGCTTTCTGTCTTTAAAACATGTTTCCTCTTTTATCATCCAGGGAAATATAATATTCTGCCTTTTTTAATATTTCCTAAAATAATTCATTCTTCTGGGAAAAGGGGGGGGGGCTTCCCTCACAGGTGAGCACACCTTGAATGAATCTGAGCAGAAACACCTGGCCAGGTGGTGCCACCTGCTGGCAGAATGAAAGCAGCACTTAAGCAAGCACATCTGAGGCATAAAACGGGAGAAATAAAAGTATTTGCTCTGGTTAGATGTATATCACCAGGAATGCCTAGACATATATCACCACCTCCAGGAGTTGCACTTAGCTCTTCACAACAGCCCTGTGAGGGAGGCTGGGCTGAGAAAGAAGGCTTCTCTAAAGTCTATCCAGATACTCCAGATGGGAAACCAGTGAAACAGATTGCCTTCAGAAGTTGTTGGTGCTCCAATACTGGAGGTTGTAAAGAAGAGACTGGACGGTCACTTGCCTGAAATGGTGTAGGGTCTCCTGCCTGAGAAGGGGGTTGGACTAGAGGACCTCCAGGGTCCCTTCCAGCTCTTTTCTGATTAGCTGAGAGGTCCCAGCCCAGCAGATGGCCCCACCATTATGCCTGCCTTCACAAAACCTCAATCCTGCTTTCAATCCCCTTCCCTCCTTCCCTCCCTGCCTTTCCAGGTTCAGGAGATGAAGTTACTGGTGACTTAGGAACAGGTGGAAGGCCCGGGAGATTTTCCGTGGACAGCTATAATAACATATACTTAAATGTTAAATATGTTTAAAACAGAGAAATATCTGCATGCGTGAGAAGCTCTCAAATATCTAATATTTTTCCAGTCATTCTATTTTCTTTTTCTCTTTTTTTCCTGCTTCTCTTTTTTTCCTGTTCTGCTTTAATAAATAAAGGCAGGAAGTTTTCACTAAGTCACCTCATTGCCTCCAGACAGACCATCCACGTGGAGCCATAGCAGAGTCTCTGGGTCCATCCCAGACTTAACTCTGGAGTAAACCCTTTGTAGGGACTGAGTTTCAGGGATTTCTGGCTCCGATAGATGCTTCCCCTGCACATTCTCTCTAGAAAACCACATCGGGGATGATGCGCTGCCCCTCGGACATGGGATGGAGAGGAAAACCCCCAAAGGGGCAGGAAAAGGCACCTGAGACAGAGAGGGATGCCAGGACCAAAGCTGTACTGCAGAGAAGTAGGAATGAATCCAGGGTGAGGTTTGGGGGAAGGGTCTCCAGGGTGGTCCAGGGCAGAAGAAGGGTCTTTGAGTCAAGTTCGAACAGTAGTTCCAGTTCGGGTGGGTCTCTTTGTTGATGACCCTGCAAAAACAAATGTTCAGATATGAGGTTTCTGCCCAGAACTGAACCCAGTGCTTCTCCCTGCTTAATCTTACAGCCACGGAGACCCAAAGCTGAAATCAGGAGGCGTGTCCTCACTGGGAGAGAAGAGAAGCAATGGGGCATCAGCCTCCCCCCTGGAGTTCTGGGGCTCCATCATTGGGGGTTTCAAGCAAAGGTGGGACAGGGTCTCTCCAGGGTGCTCTGGGGATTTCTGCCCTGGAAGGAGGATGGACTTGGTGGCCTGCAGCATCTCCTCATTCCAGGAGACCTCAAGGCTGCCACTTGGAGCATGGGCAAGGGCCTATTCACTTGAGCTTTCTAACTCAGGCAGGAAGCATTTCTCAGAGTCAGAAATGTGAGCTTCTCTTTGGCTCTCCAGACAAAGCTCTGGACCTTCCTGTCTCCTGAGCTTGGACCAGTTCTGGTCTGCCCAAAGGATGCACTGGACCAGAGTGGGCAAGGAGTTCTATCCCAGCCTCTCCTTCTCCTGGAAGTCCTCATTGCCCGAGGCCTTCTGGCTTCCTGACCAGCCTGGCAGGAGAACCGCCTTCTCCAACACTGCCCAGCCAGGAGCTGAACTGGGTGGCCACCATTCTCCCAATGGAGGTTCAGGAGGAGGAGAAGTCAAGAGACAGTGGGAGGGGGCTGTGGAGGGTCAGCCTGGGGGCTTCCACCTAAGGCAGATCAGTACCAGAGGTGGTATTCAGCCGGTTCAGACCGGTTCAGGCGTACCGGTAGCAAAAAGTTGGACAGGTTCGGAGAACCAGCAAATGCCACCTCTGGCTGGCCCCGCCCACCTGCCCCCACCGTGACCTCTCCTATATTCTCTTGTTTATTAGCCCAGCTGATCTGCATGGAGAGTGGACTGCCTTACCTCAGCTGAGCTAAGAAACAGCACAGCTCACCAGCGTCGATGCAGAGGATGGTCTCTTAGCCCTGCACGTGTGCGCGCAAAGCGAGCTCTCCAAACCAGTAGGCAATTTTTTTGAAACCCACCATGATCGGGACCTGTAAGGAAGGAGGCCCCATCCCAGAAAGTTCTGCTTCAGCATCAAGGCACCTTCCTTTTTTTCTTACCTAAGTTCCACCTTTGATGGACACGAGGAGAGCCTGGAAGACCCCAGAGAAACCTGCATGTGCCCAGACCACGTTGAGGCCTAGGAGACCCCCGACAACTTCTCCTTTGGTCTACGCAAAGTGCACAGGGGACAATGTATGGGAACTACCATGCATCGTATAGACAATGTCCTTGCACTCAGACAGGCAACCGTAACGGCAACACTTCTGCTCCCCAGGACAGTTCCAGTCATGTTGACACTTCTCGAGACAAGGAAGTTGTTGTTGTTGTTGTTGTTGTTGTTGTTGTTGAGGGGCCTGGGGACACACTCCAGGTTTTTCTGCAAAAAAGAAGATCCCAAGGCTGTGAGAATCCTCCAGAATTGGAATCCCAGATCAAGAAAGATTCCATCTCTGGGCCTTTCAGGACCCAAAACATCTCCATATATCTAGAATGATGCATTCCCAGTTGGAACCAGATCCCACCTCCTTTCCCACAAAGTGGATCCATTTCCACCTGGGGTCAACCTCTCAGGACCCTGGGGGGAGGGACACTATAAATGCCCCCCCTCTCTTGACTGGGATCAGGGGGTGGACATGCACAACCCTGGTTTCCATCAAAGAGGAAGGAGGAGTTCCAGGAAGTGGGGGGGGGGTTAGAGACTTTCCGTGCTGGTTCTGCAAATTCCCATATCCCCCTTCCCAAATACAGAGGGGAGTAAGACAGGACCCTTCCCACGGCACAGGGTGGACAACCAGAGCAGTCTTCTTCCCTTGGACCTCCTGGAAGTTGCCTGAAGTTTTTAGGCTGAATGGGGACATTGTATTTCTGAGTGGCTCCCTCAGCACATGCACCTGGGCACCCTCAGAATTGGGTCCTTGGTGGTTCATGAACTGGGAAGGATGGAGCCATCATGCCAACATCCACATAAGCAGGGGCAAACAATCCAGCAGAAAGCAATTCCCTAATCCAGGAATTATCAAGAAGAAACCCTTACCAAGGCTTGCAGAGCAAGCTGAAGTATCTAAACAGAGAACAAACCCCACACTCAGCTGCACTGATGATGTCCCCTAGTTGGGTCATGAAATGTCTACAAGAAAATAACCCTCCTCCTCCTCTTCCTCCTCCTCCTCCTCCTCCTCCTCCTCCCCCTCCTCTTCCCTGCCAACTCCACTGATGATGTTCCCTAGTTTGGTCATGAAACAGTCTGTAAGAAAACCACCAAGCTCAGAGAACATCAGAAATTCCACAAATTCCACAAATTCCTTCACAATCATAGCCTGATGTGAGAACCACGAAGTTTCATTAATCCATCATATGCTTAATGTTAAGAGGCAGCAGTTCTTTTTCAATGAAGAGGCCAGTTCGGAACTCCTTCCCTACTTACCAACACAGGTGTAGTGGCATTCATCTTTGGTCTCAAACCTGTTGGCATTTCCCCCACAACCACCTTAAGAAAACTGTTGACATTCGTTTGCAGCCGGGTTGTAGGCATAGACATACTTAATGGCTAAGCATGGTCCATGCTCAGGAGGAAGATGACAAAACTCTGTGACAAATGGAAAGGGGAGGGGGATGTTAGTTGATTAGCTAGGACAAAAGTCTTCAAGGTACTTCCCCAACCTGGTACTCTCCTAGCATTACAAGCAGTCGAGAGCTATCTGAGATGGTTTAATTTGGTTTCTGGGGTTTGTATCAGATGGCTGACGGGATTGTTCCTGTTGCTTAAAATCCTGATTCTTCTGTTGCATTGAGTCAAGATAGGTTGGTCTTCCCCTAAAATTGCATCTCTCTTTCTTGGGATCCCCTCCCATTTCTGTCTCCTGTTCAGCTGACACCCAACCACCATCTCAAGAACCTCCCCAGAAGAAGCCCCACCAAGCCAGAGGTTCTAGTCTTTGGTTTCCCTTTCCTGGGGGAGAACTCTGATCACTTCAGCCCCTCCCTTCCAAGGGTCTCCAGATTATTCTGAAAGCTCTACCTGGCCGGTCCTGGCCGGAGATGGGGGTCAGCTCTGCCCAGAGGGTGAGGAGTCCCAGTAGGAGAAGAAGACCTCCAGAAGACATGATGAAGCCGTCTGCCCCACCCTCGGGCTGCTGGCTCTATTTATTCTCCCCATTTCCCACCTCCAGATCCAGGAAGCAGGATGACTTCATGCAGTGAGAATCTGAATTCCTTCCTCTTTCACAAGATGGTGGAACAAGGAGTGGAGAATCTGGGAATGTAGATTCATGGACACTTTGGGAGAGGCTAGGCATGGCCCTGTTGTCATGTTCCCTGCTATTAGATCTCCCTGAAAATTTTGACACTCACTTTCAATACAAATGAATAGAACAGGAATAGAATAGAACAAGAATAGAGTAGAGTAGAGTAGAGTAGAGTAGAGTAGAGTAGAGTAGAGTAGAGTAGAGTAGAGTAGAATGGAATGGAATGGAATGGAACATAAGGTGGAGGTCTTCTAATCCAGCCCCCTACTCAAGTGGGAGACCCTCTACCATTTCAGACAAGTGGCTGTCAAATCTCTTTTTAAAATCCTCCAGTGTTGGAGCACCCACAACTTCTGGTGGCAAGCTGTTCCATTGATCAATTACTTTCACTATCAGGAAGTTTCACCTTAATTCCAGGTTGCTTCTCTCCTTGGTTAGTTTCCATCCCTTGTTTCTTGTCCTGCTTTCTGGTGCTTTGGAGAATAGCTTGGCCCCCTCTTCTTCTTTGTGGCAGCCTCTCAAATCCTGGAATACTGCTATCATGTTCCCCCTAGTTCTTCTTTTCTCGAGAGTAGCCAAACCCAAATCCTGCAACCGGTCTTCATTTGTTTTCCCCCCAGGCCTTTGATCATCCTAGTTTCTCTTCTCTGCACTTTTCCCAAAGTCTCAACATTTTTTTGCAATGTGGTGACCAAAATTGGATGCAGAATTCCAGGTGTGGCCTTACTAAGGCTTTATAAAGTGGCACCAATACTTCGCCTGATTTTGATTCTGTTTATGCAATCAAGGATAAGCCATCATCCACTAAGACTCCTAGATGCCTCTCCCACTCCCTGTTTCTGAGCCAAGTTTCGCCTAATCTGTACTTGTAGCTTTGGTTCTTCCTTTCTATTCTACAAAGAAGGATCCATTGGAAGGGACCCTGGAGATCTGTCTATAGAGATTCTCCGTCCTCCAGGTCATGGTTGTCTCAAAGGTGCTTCTTCAAGAGGCAAGTGGACTTTCTGGTTTTTCTTTGAAGATATTTTGCTTCTCATCCAAGAAGCTTCTTCAGCTCTGACTGGATGGTGGGGAATGGAAGGATTTACACTCCTTACAGACAGTTGCATACAAATCTTTCCCTTCCCTGCCATCCATTCAGAGCTGAAGAAGCTTCTTGGATGAGAAGCAAAACGTCTTCAAAGAAAAACCAGAAAGTCCAGTTGCCTCTTACAAAAAACACCTTTGAGATGACTCCGGAGATTGTTTCTTTAAGATCAAATTGTTCCCTCTTGACCACAGGGTCAACCCAGAATCCATCCCCACCTCTGAAGTGCAACTGAGCAGCTCTACTACACAAATTGCACAGAGTGCAGAGTGCAGAGAAGAGCAACAAAGATGATTAGGGGTCTGGAGGCTAAAACATATGAAGAACGGCTGCAGGAACTATGTCTAGTCTGACAAAAAGAAGGACTAGGGGTGACATGATAGCAGCCTTCCAAAATCTCAGGGGCTGCCCCAGAGAAGAGGGAGTCAAGCTATTCTCCAAAGCCCCTGAAGGCAGTACAAGAAGCAAAGGATGGAAACTGATCAAGGAGAGAAGCAACTTGGAACTAAGGAGAAATTTCCTGACAGTTGGAACAATTGATCAGTGGAACAGTTTGCCTCCGGGAAGTTGTGAATGCTCCAACACTGGAGGTTCTTAAGAAGAGATTGGGCAACCATTTGTCTAAAATGCTACAGGGGGTTGCAGCCTGAGCAGGGGGTTGGACTAGAAGACCTCCAAGGTCCCTTGCAACTCTGTTATTCTACTCTATTCTATTTTGCAAAACCCAAGCAATTGTTATTTGACTACTGTTTTTAATGTTCAGTATCGATGAGGCTTATTGACATGCAATAACTTCCTGGACTTCTCCTGCTTTCTCAGACCTTGCCTAATCCAAATCCGTCTCTCAGTGCCGTTGAAATTCTCTCTGTCCTGTGAAATTTAGAGTTTCCGTGGGTTCTTCTGACTGCCAGCTGGCAATGCTAATCAGCTAAGAGACCACTTCCCTCAATGCCCATCTATTAACCAACCCTGGTTAAGGAGGAACAAGGACAGATAAATGAATAAGGAACAAAAGTCTATGGAGATTCTCCGTCATCCAGATCATGGTTGTCGCAAAGGGGCTTTCTGAGGAGGCCACTGGAGTTTCTTCTTTTGTCTTTGAAGGCGTTTTGCTTCTCATCCAAGAAGCTTTTTCAGCTCTGATAGGATGGTGGGATGGGAAGGTCTTCAACAGTGAAGACAGACAGGACAGAAAACATCTTGCAGCCAAGGAGGCTCCACACACCCATTTTCAATCTTCAGATAACCCTGAGGACATAAATAAACCTTCAAGTGCTTCAAAGTCCCCCCAAAAGGACGCAAGTGGTCAGTTTTCTGCAAGGATCCTTCCCTTCCCCACCATCCAGTCAAAGCTGAAGAAGCTTCTTGGATGAGAAGCAAAATGTCTTCAAAAAAATAAATAAGAAAGTCCAGTTGCCGCCTGAAAAAGCAGCTGCTGGCAGAAGGGAGGCAATACTTGAGTATCTATATTGGGGACATAAAATAGGAGAAATAAACGTATTTGCTAGGTTAGATTTGTATCATCAGAATTTATAGATGTATATCACCATCTCGAGGAATTTCTCTTCTCTTCATAACAGCCCCGTGGGGAGGCTGGGTTAAGAAGGACCAACAGTTGGCCTCACAATTGCACCTGCGTTCACAAAACTCTTGATCCTTCCTTCCTTCCTTCCTTCCTTCCTTC